TCGGTGTTTCTCCTGTCATTAGTGTACTGTTTAAGTCAGTGTTTCTCCTGTCTTTAGTATACTGTTTAAATTAGTATTTCTCCTGTCTTTAGTAAACTGTTTAAGTCATTGTTTCTTCTATCTTTAGTATACTGTTTACGTTAGTATTTCTCCTGTCTTTAGTATACTGTTTAAGTCAGTATTTCTCCTGTCTTTAGTATACTGTTTAAGTCAGTATTTCTCCTGTCTCAAGTATTAATTCATTCCACACATTAGTTTTTCTCAAATGCAGTGAAGCAAAAAAAATTGTGTCTGAAAAAAAAATGATAGTATTGTGTGTTCTTATTTTTTTAGTTTCTAGTTGCATGTTAATGTTTTTGTCATTGAATGAAGAATTTTATAATGTAAACATCAATAAGATAGTTTAAAAAATAAAAAAGTTATTAAACTTTTAAGTACAACACTGTGGGATAAGTATTTTAAAAAAACATAACACTAAACTTACTGTAATGTAAATCTATCAATATTAATCCAAAGAAGCTGCTTTTTATTATAAAATATGTTTGTTATAAATCAAGAAAGTATCAAGAAATAGCATAATAAATAAAAAGTTAAGAATTTTTTTCTTTTACACACTTTTCTTTTGAAAAAAAAAATTAGGCAGACTCTGTTCCGTTTTCTATATTCTACTAAATGTTGACTGCTTGGACTTTTGCAGGCAACCTGTCTCTTAATGCCTACCAGGAGCTCTGATCTGTTCAATTAAAATGACATGCTGTGATAGCTGACAAATTAGAACTTGTTTTCAATCTTTTAGAGAGAGTCTTCTTGAACCAGCTTTCTGGCTGAGGCAAAACAAAGAAGAGTTGGATTGTCAGATTTCAAACAGCCAATAAAATATTTTATTCCACCACGTGATGGTTTTTGTCTCAGACACTGTAGTAGGTCACTTTCTAGTCTAGCTTGTCACATCCGTTCATATTTCTATTGTACGTGTCAACCTCCAAAGCTTGTCAACTTCATTCACTTTTGGGGTGCCCACTTCAGCATCTGTTGAAAACATGACACTTTTTTTTTCTTTCGTCTTTGAATGCATCACAGAGTTGAGTTGGCATTTTTTCCTTGTGAATGTATTTATAGGATTCATTAAATTATCTTTTATTTTGTCATCAAAGATGGCATGAAAAAAATCAAGTGGAAGAGAATGATCTTTTAAAAGAAGATAAGGTGTTTTCAGAGGATGAAATCTGAAATTATGTTTAGTAGTTTCAAATATAACATGGTCCCATGCAGGAGCTGTAGAGTCAGAACTTAAAGAATTAGAACTACTAGTAGACATGCTGGTGGTAGATGTAGTCACTGTTGTGCTGGCATCAACAGGCTGAAGAGTAGTCTCAGTACTTGTAGTAGACATTTCCCTTTAGTTTCTGATCATTAAGCAGTTTGTTCACATGGGGAGGCTGAGAATCCCTAATCAGAATCTTCATCATAAGTAGCCTAGGTCTACTAGAACTACTTCTGCTTAGTTTCATGTTTTTCCCTCTATTCTGATCGAAATCTAAACCAGGTTCTTTCCTGAAGATATCTTTTTGTGAATCTGAATTAAATAGAATCTTCTTCAGTTGTCATACATCTGTATTTGTTATCCTTACGTCTAGAGTTATCACTGGAAAAAGCCATTGAATCAGCTGATTTTTTTTTCTCTCACTAAGTCGAACAGTGTGGTTAAATGTCTATAACAAATTTAAAAACTGCTTTTAAAAGTTGCTTTAAAAAGTAGAAATAAGTACAAAGCTTGGGTTAGGGTTAGGTCATGTGTTCTAATCATTTATTCTAACTTCACTTCTTACCTACATTTTTTTTTCATAACTTTTTGGACCAATTGTTTTTTTTTAACTCCTTCCTAACTGTTCCATCCTTCAACTTGGAAACTGCTGTTAATCAAGCCAACTAGTTTCTCAAAAACTTATTTCATTTGATTATGTAAAACCACCCTTTTTTTTATTGGTTATTGTTAGAAACATTCACATCATGTGTCCTTGTTTAAATTGATGAATCATTTGAATTGTAAAAATGAAATCACCACTCAGGGTTGGATGCATTTTGTTTAACTAATTTAATAAGCCAAGAAATGACCTTTTATTTGTTAATCTTTTGGTCCAATCAACTACTCTCTTCTGTCATTGCTTACAAGTTTCACTCAAGGAGCCATACTTTTAGTATTTAATTAAGGTTTAGTTTGGTAGGACTATGTCAGAGGGTTGTAAAGCCAGTACATTTTACAAGCAATTTATTGCTTACATTTTGATTTAATTAACTTAAAGTCTCATGACAATAGTTTGGTCAAGATTTGTCTGAATAGATCCTAAAAGTGTGCATATTGAGATATTTCACATTCTTGTTAGTTGTAACTCATTGAATTTATTAGTCTCAACTGGTCATCTTTTATCTTTTTTTTTAACATCTGTAAAATATTACCAATAAAATTGCAAATCAAGATTATGAAATGATACCCCCATTTTGTGCAATGGAGCTAGGGACAGAGACCATGTATTATCTGTACTTGCCAATCATTTGTTGTTTGAGATGGAGAGTTTCTTAGTTGCATTCAGAAATCTCATTCAAACAAGCATTACTTCTATTTTGTCTACTCAATAATGAAACCATTGAGCTAGACAGACTTTGTTACTAAATGTCAAAGTTGGCAAGACATTGCCTGCAGAGTGTTGCCTGTAATATTGATGTTCTATGTTTGGATACAAGTTCGGGTAAAGTTTGGCTTCAGATTTTTGATTGACTTGAAGTGCTCATTGCTTGGCTTAATCCTTGGCTCAAATATTTGTAATATTACTTATAATAATTCATTTTACATAAATTTTATTTATTAGCATAAACTGTACTGTACAAATGATGTTTGAATTAGGTGTGTTGATTGAATAGTGCATCCTCTTTCACTTACTTAGATCTCAGAGAATGGTCCACATCATGATTTGGGGCCACTGTCATGACATTAGCTCATGCCCAAAATGCATATTATCTAGCCTGTAAACAAGGGGAGTTATTTGGCCCCTTTGGAACCTGCCCACAATATATATTGAATCCCCAGAGGTTCAGTTCTATTGGACCCTACAATGTTGTGGCTTGGGACACTTGACATTTATCTGGCCTCCAGTCTGGTAAAGGTTGGGCACCACTGCTCTATTCCATAATGTTTGTGTCTACTATGTCTGACTTTCTCTTTGTGCTGATGTGTTGTCCTACATTGTGTATAGCTTTCTCTGTGCTGATGTGTTTTCCTATACTGTGTATAGTTTTTTTTGTTTATAAAATTGTTATTGGAATAACTTGAATGGCTTAATGTACAAATGGACCTCTGTATGGCTCAGATCTCATGTAGTCCTCTATGACAGTTTTGGAATGTAATTGAAAGGACAGCCCCCTATTTCTTCTATTGAAGAACACTGTGTAAATAGTGACATTGTATCAAAAACTGATTTAAACATAATGCACTCACCTGAAGTTTTGCAGCTCAACACATTTGTTGCCACCTCTTGTTGTTGATCTTCATTTTGTTGTTGGAGATGTTAATACATGGCAGGAAAACTATCTAGCAAACATTTTGGTGTATCTAGTGTACAAATGAAAGGAACTGGTGATAAGCTATGTTTTTAAAGGTATATGATCATTTTTTTTCCACCTTTAAGTACTGCAAAATCAACTATTCTCAGCTCTTCTGTTTGTAGCACAAAGTACATTTCATAGGGAGGAAACATAAGACTTTCAGTCTAGGACATCAAACTTATTGAAGAAGACAAGGTTAATGAACTTGTTGTAAAATAGTTGACTTGATAAAAATATCTAACTCACTCACATTGAGCTATTGTTACTTAAAGCTCACTTCTTTTTTGTTTAAATGGTAAACAGTAAAGTTCAAGTTGGCATCCTTAACTTTGTTTAGTAAAGTTCAAGTTGGCATCCTTGATAATGTTTAGTAAAGTTCAAGTTAGCATCCTTGACATTGTTTAGTCTATGGTGAAAATCTCCTACAACTTGATTTTAACTAATACTGAGCTAACTCTACACCAGTCTGTCTCCTATCCAAACAGTTAGTACTTGACTGGACTCCATAAGAAATATGCAGCTAGTCAATGAATACATTTAGATTTCCTAGTAATGTCATTCAATGGTAGTGTGTCAGTGCTCTTGTCATTGATGCTCTTTTATAGCCTCTACTTTGATATGAATATATTGTTCAAATGATGAACACTACATTAAAAACTTCATGGTAAAAAACAGATGAGTTGATTCATGGCATCATCTCTTTGGCTTTTTTCCTTTCTTGTAAGACAAGAGCAGGGCAATTTTTCAGGCAATATTCTGACATGTATATATTACCTCCCATTGTTTGAGGGCCATGTGGCTAGTTTCTGTTTTTTCAAGCACTGTTGTTTGTTTGATGGATACTGAATCTGACCTTTTTTACTTGACATTATGTTGATTTTATTTTGGCTTTTTGTTTCTTTCCTTTGACATCTATAAATCAATAAAATGTTATCTCCCTAAATGATGGTCAATGTCAGGTGGGTAGTTTTTGGTTTTTGACTAAATGTGTAAACCTTTCACATTCCAAATGATATAATCACTTACCTTGATTTAGTTCTGCTTTTAAAAAAAAAATATGAATAGAAATTGGTTGGTCTGGGACAATGTTATATGTTGTTTCTTCATTCTACCATCTGATTAGTTTCTTATGCTGGTGACTATTTTTGTATCATCTTTCTCCAGAACTGACTTGCCACTTAATAGCCTCAATGTTCAGCCCGCCCATGACTGTATTGGTAGATAATTCTTGTTCAGGATTAATGCACCACTCCAACACTAATCAATTCTTGTGTTTTCTTTTTTTTTTTAAGCTTCTATCATTCAGTCAATTCAAATTAAATACTAATTAAGCACAATTCTAAAATTTTTGTATTAAGCCAGGTGACCATTTTTATTGTATTGATTATACTTTAAGAAACCTTTTTTTTTTTTTTTTTTTTTTTTTTTTAATTACAATTTACTATAGAATCAATTGTAATTATATTGATTGTCTTTATTTGTTTGAGTGTTATCTTTCCTGCACTCATTTTGAAACTTTTCTTATACGGTAACACTATTCTGACAAATACATGGTGGTATTTATAATGACTGAATCATATTATACGAATATAATCTACACGCTCAGTCTCTTCATACATAATTCAGCTATTTATTTTTGTTTAAGAACCAAAGTAAGGTTCTTGGGGTGGTACCAGAAAGTGCAATTAAATGTGGAATCTGAGCCAAGTCCAGTTCCTCAGACACAAACACTTACAATGTACAATGAATTGGGTGTTAGTTTAACTAGAGAACCGAATGGCAAGACTCTCTGGGATGATGATCATAAGGCCATTCATCAAAATATACAATGAAAAGGAGATTGTAAAATGTGTGTGCTACAAGTTAGTGTCCAATGTTTCTCTGCTCTAGTGTCAGTTACTAGTGGAAGTATCCAGATAGAAATCACATGAGTGTACACGTCTTTCAGAACCTAAGAACCACACTACAGGCACCAGAGTATTACTCAGATCAGTACATGTTTGCTGGACAGCATTGCTGGTTCATTTGTACATGTGTTTGAGGGGAGCATTTTGGTTTGATTCATTTGTACACATGCAAAATACAAGTTTGCTTCTTTTTATTCATATATTATTTTCCTTTATTTGAAATGTTAAGTACAAATGGAGAAAATGTAGAACTTGTCACTTTTTTTGTTTTGTTTTGTAAAAGTGAAGTTGTATAGTAGTAGTAGTTTTGTGTGTGTGTACATGATATATGCCCTAATCCTACCAGTGTACTACCATGCCATGTTAGTTCTGAACGGGTCCCATGTTGTCCACCCACGTGTTATATCACGAGCTCAGAAGGTTGGAGCTCTCCTTTCTTTCTTCTCTATCTCACAACTTTGCCTCCTTTTTGTTTGGACAAGTGCAATCTTGCAGTGCTTGGCTTCAACTTGTATATGCATGGCCCCACCTGCTTCCATTCATACACAGTCTGTATTTGTGAATTGAATTAATCAACTTTGACATCCTAATTCAGATCCATGTATATGTGGTTGATTCATTAACTTCCCACAGCCTTGACATCATGATGCAGTCATGATGTTTGTATAAATAATGTATTTAATGTACATAGTGAGAAATATGTTGAATAAACTTAATGCTAACCACATCACCTAGCTTGAGTTAAATATCTTCTGTTTTTTATTTTACAAAGCTTATATATAAACTCAGTTTGTCTGTCTGGCCAAAATTTTGTACATGTTATTTCTCCGACACCCAAACTCGGATCAAGTTAAAATTACCCAGATTCCCCGTTCTTTCTCCCCCTTTCCAACGGGTCCAGACAAGTGATAGGATCGTAGCGTATTGAGAACGCTATAAACATGAAGAATATTTCTAATGGGCTTTGTTGCTGCACATAAAAATGATATATGTGTCAGACGCGTATAGCCCAAATGTAAAGTAAAAGAAATCACAAAAGTAATTTCTCTATAGAAGAAGTTACGAAAGTTATATATTATAAAACCACAAATTAATTTTTGTTAGTCTAGGTCAGAGGTGGGCAAACTACGATACGCGGGCCCGGGAGTGTTTTATGCGGCACGCGGATACCTAGAAAAATGCAAATATATTAGAATAAACTAGTCGACCCGCGGCGTAGCATACGCCGATATTCAGTGACGGGTGAACACTTCCTGAAAGACACAGTTGTCCAAATGGGGTGGTTTGTGGGCAAACGACTGTGAGTGAATGAAAAGAAGGAACTCTGGAGAGAGCAACATACAATAGTCCATGACTGAAAACAGGTTTTGGAAGGTACAGGCATGTCTTTTTGAACGTTTGGCTTTGTGCTGTATTCATTGTCATGGTAAAAGCTAATCTAACAGGGAATAGTATGCGCCAGATATTGACGTGTGTAAAAAATAGACTCATAAATGTAATCAAATATAGATTAAGGCTGCTTTATTGATCCTTATGGAAATTTGTTGTGATTACAAGGACTCTTTTTCTCATTCAAAAACAACACAACAGAAACTTACACATAAATTGAACAGACACAACATAAAGAGTTTATTCAGCGACTACACACAGGCATCTTGGTCCTTTTCACGTTTCCTGATCAACGAGTGGCGTTAATATTGTCTGACGGAATAAAGTACGAACGAGTTTTTGTACCGCTCTGTTCTTGTCTTGATTTGACAGCAGTCGCCCAATTCGCGACGACCTGACGTAGTTCTGATGGAGCTGGTGGTCGTTGTCTTCCAAGATTTTTCATAGACACTTTTGTTCAAAAAGTTCCTTTAAATATGGTAATGTTGTGCGTGTGATTTTTTATGATGTTTTCTAGAGGACGCAACAGTTGAGATTAAGTTATTCGTATGTTAGCAGATTTTGTATAGTCGCGCCGTGAAAAGTATCTAAGATCTTCTTATTTAGTTTAAAGAATGTAAAGAGAAAGATTACCTATTGTCCCCCCTTCTTTTTTTCTGAGCCTCGCTCTCTGTCGCAACGAAAGTTACTTGGGGTAACTCTAGCCCGAATTGCAGAACTAAAAGAGTTATCTTTCAATGATTTTTTTCATCAAGGGCTAGATAGTCGGCGTGCGTTGCGTCCCGTGTGGTTGGGCGACGAAGAGAATTTTATAGAGAGATAATTGTAAATATCTATAAAAATTATTGAAACATCTGATTCTTATCACTTATGACGAAAAGGCTAAAGAAACATTATCTCGACATCATTTACATGTCATTCTAAAAAGCATTAAGTAAACGAAGATTTTTCTTTTTTTTGGGGGGGGGTAATATTTGGAAACATTCAGACAAAGAAGTAAACTCTGGCCAGTATTTCTTTACTTTAGCTGCGTTGAAATAGTTGGGTTGCCTTGAAACAAGATGGCAAGTGTAACAACGGATGATGTCCGTGCTGTGATTGAGAAAAACAGGCTTTTTTAAAATTAAATTAAAGAACAATATCCCAACAATAAACTTTAAACGGGAAAATCTGCACAAAGCTGCATTGAATATTAAACATTAACTATCGTCTCACTAGTCTCAGTGATAAAGCGTATCATAGCTAGGGGTCTTAACCGCAGGCAGTTCCTAGAAGTAATAGAAGATTTGGAAACAAGAGGTAACAGCAGTACCCGCAGCCATGGCATGGGCAAGGTATTGAGAAGAAAATGAAATCTCATGGAAGAGATTGTTATGTTCCTTGATGTGACTTTGTTGTTAATATTGCCCACTGTGACAAGTCAAAAGCTTGCTGTCAGAGTCACTCATACTTATCACAACATTAATTATTATTATTATTTATTTATTTATTTTATTTTAATTATTTCCCCGTCCTATCCCCAATTTCCTCACCCGCCCCACCGTTTCCTCTCCAGACTGAGTCCACCACCTTGGCGGCTTTTTCACTTATCTTCTCTTGACCGGGGTAAAGATAAACAAGCAGTCTCTTTTATCTTACCCGCCGGATGTCTGACAGCGCAGTTGACACCACCTTGGGTGGAATGCGAGTCAATCTTTCTCCCCCCCCCCCCTTCTCCCACGTCTCTCCTTGATCTAGGAGACCACCCGAACCAACACGCCTATTGACCTTTCCAAGGTGCGACTCTTGTCGGACTTCACCCACGTGTAAGACAATTCTTAGCCTAGGACATTTCCTGTTTCCGCCCACATTTTCCAGGCCTGTGTATAAGGTAGATTAAATCAAGCCAGACCCTCTCATTTTCTCATTCGAGCTGAGCTATCGAGTCTAAGCTGCTTCATTTATTCTTTCTCCTAGAGGAATACCTGGTGGTAAGCCGAACTTAATCACAAGTTCCATCTTAATTACTTTGTGTGCATATTTCTCACTGGATATTATCATGTGTATTTTATTATTTCACTTATATTTAATTAGTGCATTGTGCATTTCTCACTGTCGTAAGTAGAAAACATTAACATGGCATATGTATTTATTTATGTACTGCATTAATCTATTAATGCTACGTTGCTCAATTGATCGTTGACGCAACCATGTATATCTTATTTTTTGTCCTTTATCTCGGCTGACTGCCCTAATAATTTTCCTGGCGCACCAATACTGCGCTTAGAGAAGATATATGATTTATCTCCCACCTTTACTCATTTTACTTGAACGAGAGTTGCGCCCCTTGAATGGACATCCTCTTCATTCAAGCGCGCTCCATTGTTCTCGGCCGACGGTCGTATGTAAACAAACCGTCATGGTCGCTGACCACCGCCCTCCCCCCTCTTTTCTATTAAAACATATGTTGTTTACTTGAGATTATTATTTCCCCTTATAGGTACATTTTTATATTATTATTTCCCCTTATATGTACATTTTTATATTATTATTTCCCCTTATATGTACATTTTTATATTATTATTTCCCCTTATATGTACATTTTTATATTATTATTTTCCCTTTTATGTACATTTTTAAATGATTATTTTCCCTTTTATGTACATTTTTATATTATTATTTTCCCTTTTATGTACATTTTTATATTATTACTTACTTACTTAGGTCCTCCCGCGCCGTTCGGCGCATTGGGCGGCAAGCTGTCTCCATAAAGATCTGTCACTGGCAATGTCTGAAGCCTCCTCCCACCTGGTGTCCACTGTTTTGAGGTCCTCCATGAAGGTGTGTCGCCAAGTAATACGAGGGCGTCCCTGTTTGCGCTTTCCTTGTTTTGGCTTCCATGTTATCGCAACTCTTGGTGTGCGTAATTCATTTTGACGTAGAACATGTCCCGCAAACCTCATGCGACGCTCAGTCACAACCTCACCAAGTGTTCGACTCCCAGTTCGGCATAGGATTTCCTTGTTTGAGATCCGATCTGTGTAACTGACTCCCAAAATCCGTCTCAGCCATCTCTGTTGAGCCACATTTAGTCTTTTCTCAATTTTGACAGATGATTATATTATTATTTCCCCTTATATGTACATTTTTATATTATTTTTTTCCCTTATATGTACATTTTTATATTATTATTTTCCCTTTTATGTGCATTTTTATATTATTATTTTCCCTTTTATGTACATTTTTTATATTATTATTTCCCCTTATATGTACATTTTTATATTATTATTTCCCCTTATATGTACATTTTTATATTATTATTTTCCCCTTTATGTACATTTTTATATTATTATTTTCCCCTTTATGTACATTTTTATATTGTTATTTTCCCTTTTATGTACATTTTTATATTGCTACTATCAGCCATCTGTTTTCCAAATCCCATTTCTCATCATCTCTCCTTTGTGCTCAAAAGCAATTTTACCAATCTGACGAATGCACCTCAGTCGAGGGCATCGATAAGATGCATGAGAGACATGTCCTAACTTGTCTTTATTTATCCGCAGCCTCCCTCAGGTGTCTGTCTATTTGCTATTTACCTACCTATTCATTTGGCATTATCTGCCTATTCATCGGATCACTTGCCACTTGCTATTGAGTCTCATCTACTGCCTACGTGGATCTACTCAACTCTACTACTTTGCGCTATCGGATCTACTTGCCCGCTTATTCGACAGCCCACCTGTCAACTTATTAGGTGCGACGTCCCTATAGACCCAGATCTGTGCGAGACGTCATAGCTACGCCAAACCCTCCGCAACTCACTAGACGTATCCTCGGGTGAACTACGCTGCCCACGGCAGATCAGCTCTGCCCGCAGTACACTTGTGCCCACGGTAACCGGCCCCCGCCCTACTGTGCCCACTACAGATATCAGAACTTTGGATTGAGACTCCACTAGAACTGTATCACCGACGTCCCTCTACCCGCTAGAGCGCCACCTCCAGCTGCAGAACCTCAAGCCAGGATCACAGCCGGCTGCGACATCAACAGGACAACCAGCTAAGTTCAGAAGACAAAGTAAAATACTCTCTTATTAAGTGATGATTAAATACATTATTGCTTAGAGATAGATGCAAACCCTCCCCCCTTTTATTTTTCTATGTAAATATTTATGTAAATAAATATTCTTTTATTTTAACTTTGTATCTTTCTTTCATTGCTTGTCTCGTTGCGTGCCTGATCCCGATTTATATTCTGACGGGTTGGTGTGTGACAATTTCAAAAATAATCATCCCCTAGACATTAAACGCGCCAAACACACGTCACTTTCCCCAACCTGTCACACTCATGAAGAGTGGAAGGCAGAATT